AAGACAAGCAAATGACTGGTCTGCGTGGTCTTCTTTCCTCGTGCTTCTGTGGCTTTGTCTAACAGTAAATAAAAATACGCTGTGACGATTCAGCCGCAGAAGCATGATGTTGATGCTGAATGGTCTGTAAAGATGAGGCGAGCTGCGGGGTAGTGCTGTTGCCATCATTGTTGTAATGGGTGTATCTGTTTCTGCACAGCCTTTACAGCTGCAACTCTTGCAGCATTTGCTGCTTTATTAGCTATTGCTACAGCTTTCTTCACCCTTTCATCCACTTTGGCCACTTCATATGCTCTCTCAGCAGCTCTCTGTGCTTCCTGCTCATAAGATGGTTTTTAGTGAGAAAACTATCTTAGTGGTGAGGGCTTGTGCACATAATTGTTTTTTGCAGTTTGTCTTCACATAAATCAACTTTTGAGTATTTCTATTGCAAAGCTGTCATTCTTTGAGGAAAAGCTCTGGCAGCATAACGTTAAAACCCAAAAGCGAGTCAAACTCTAATGACCGATGACATCTATAGTGGAAAACCCAAAAGCGAGTCTCACTCAGTGTAGCTTCCAAGTCTTTGAAAAAACTTCATGTTTTATTGTTTAAAAGTTTTTCAATTTTTTCATTGGGATCATCAAGCAACTAGAAATTTAGATTGCAGAAACGCTCACTGAGTAGAAAGTTATCCTCAACAAGCAAAGCTAATCTAAATCAATGGCTGCTCCTTCACACATCAATTAAATTTTAGTGAAAAGAAAAAGATCTAACTAGTTGGTGTTCTGATGAGGAATATTAATTGTATGACAAATTCATTGTGAGTCAGTTTCAAAAGCATCAAAATTATGTATACATACTTTATCCGCAAACAAGAAGATATAACTTATTGATGGTGTTTTACTAAACTTTTAATTAATAACCAAGTCAACAACATACAATACAAAATACTTTGCACAAAGCTTGTCCAGCTAACTTATTCCAAAATATTTTATGGTTCTAGACCATCACATTTCAGGCAGAATTTATTCCAAAGAAATACTAATACCACAAGTACATAAAACACAATTACCTGGACTGCATTAAGCACTCTGGCATGGTTTACTGCACGGGGAGATCCAGGATGGGTATTTTGCACACTGGGAATATCTAGAACCCCATTTTGCCAATGCCCAGATTGTGTTTCCCCACTTCTGAAAGTGTACATACCAAGTCCCTGCTTTCTTCCTTCGTGCCAGGCTCCTTCATACCGGTGCCCATTCCCAAACTGATATACTCCAAAACCGTGCATCTTGTCAGCAAAATATTCCCCAGCATACCTATCCCTATTTCTGCACAATCACACGTAGCAATCAGCACTGATGTGGTTTTGTGAATTAACTTTCACTTGCATATATCAAACGATCACCACTAACCCCTCCTTCCTTGGCATATGCTTGAAGACCAAAAATGATTGAATGCACTTCTCTTATAACAGGTTTTCTTAACATGTGTGAGATCACACACACAACACACATAAAACACACAGACACGACAGTCAAATGGAGGAAACTAAATCAGTTTTCCTGTCCACAGGTGCCAAAAACATCAGCAACGTAATTAAGCATATAAAAGAACAGTGGCCAAATTCTATGGCTGTCATTTATATATTTTTTTTAAAGGAGATTCAAGGGACCCTGTAGAGAATGTGTTGGTGAAGGCAATAAAGTATGAGATAGGTTCCAAACTCCATGAGGCTTAAAGACTTAACTGCCTTTTTTTTTCCGCCAAAAGACTTAACTATCTTTTATTCTAGGTATTCTAATACATATCCTGGTCATAACTCAGAAAGTGAATCCTTAAAGTATTGAACTTTTTGTAAATTATGCGAAGGAACCATGATAGGTATAACAACTTAAGGCCAAACATACTTGGCATCTATGAACTCATGACTGAAAGAAACAAACTCCTAGCCAAAGAGACAAAACTAACTAAACTTGGTACGAAGTGCACAACTTTTCCATTAAGCTCATAATACCTAAAACCTTAGACAACCCTGACCAATATGTATGCCTCTAATATTTCTACGAATTCCTAAGGGAAGAATATTTTGTAGGTTGAGATTTATTCAAACCATTTGTTCCCATGTTTCACCTAAGTAGAATACACACAGGTCTGATAAGTCCTGTTATGAATTTTGCAACTGAACTTCCTACTACTGTAAACGAGTACGGGTAAACTGACCTACAAGCTAGCGCACAAATTCCAACACCAGATCAAAAGACGACATAGTAACTCAAGGAGGGTACATAATCATTTCAATTCCATCAACCTTTCCCACCGCTTCACGCGGGAAAACATAGGCCATCATCTACTTGACTAGTGTTAACAAACTAACTCCAAACATCAATATCAGACCACATAGAACAACATCGCCACTGATCAGTGTTTATTTCAAAACATCAATATCCTGGAAATCCAAATAACATTACATCACACACAATAACCATATATCTAAAAGAAGAGAGTAAATTTACCTGAAATGATAATGACCTAGTCCATGCTTGACACCCCACTTGAACTCCCCAACATACCGGCTCCCGTCCTCACACGTAAGTATTCCACACCCATGGCACTGCCCATTAGACCACTCTCCAGCATAAACATCACCAGTGAAGAATCTATAAACCCCAATCCCATGCCTTATCCCCTGCCTATACTGTCCACGATACCGGCTTCCTCTTGCCCAAGTCTCCACACCATAACCATCATACTTCTCATCTATCCAATCACCTTCATACCTCCCACTCATATGATAGTAATAAACCCCACTTCCTGAACACTTTCCTCTATCAAATTCACCCTCATAAACATCCTTATTACTATAAACCTGCACCCAAGACCCAGAATTTGGCCTTTTCTCCAATTTTGGCTTCGGCCCAATTGACCAAAGAACAGGCTGAGGGGGCTTAGAGACGCAAGAAGATGAACAAAGCTTAATTGGCAGAGAGCGGGAAAGAAACAAGCGAATTGAAACAAAACGAGGAAGTGCAATATTCAGGGAAATCAAAAGGGCTGCCGAGAAAGCGATTACAGAGAGGAAATCAAGAAGGAAAGACCGGCGAGGACTTGTGATGAAGTAAAGGGAAGGCACCGAAAGGAGGATAAGCAAGCGACAGTGGACTCTGAGCAAATGGGCACAGCGGAAATGGCGAAAAAGTTTGACAGCCAGTGATCTCGTGGCAAAGGGAATGATTGCAAGTGAAGCAGAACACAGAAATGAATGTGAAGAAGAAGAAGAGCCTGAATTCAAAGAACTTTGGTTGTGGTGGTGGTGGTGGTGGTGAAGAGAGGAGAGTGTAGGAGAGTGGGAAAGACTGGAAGGTGTTTGGTTCATTTTAGGCCTTTTGTGGGGCGCTGAGCAAAGGGCATGTGATGGCAAGAGAAACTAGGAGATGGGTTCCTCATGGAATTTGAATTGGGTGGGATTTTGGTGAGGTTGTGTTGGTGGGTTTGGTGATGGTGAGTGATGTCTCTGTTTGGGTTGCTTAGAAATGATCAGGTGGGTAGTTTGGTGACAACATGTGTCGGACAAATTGGGTATCCAGGGGTATCCAGATAACTGGATTTGGATATGGATTTGGAAGTGCTTTTGATGAGGAATTGGATGAATTCTAAGTGTTGGGTTGGCCTCAGCCTCAGCCTCAGCCTCCGCTTTTCTTTACTTTTCCGATCTGCGTTGCATTTACATACAAATTCTAATTCTTCTTCTTCTTCTTCTTCTCTCTCTCTCTCTCTGAGTGGCTCTGTGAATTTAGAATACCTGTGGGTTTTTGGGTTTCCCTAGATTCAGTGCAATTGGTGCATATCTGTGTATTATGTTGCTGTTTCTAGTTTCTGTGCTGTGGTAATCATGTCTGGTTTTCTGGCAGAAACCAACCTGAGGTCGTTTGTTTGTTCTTTATACAACCCTGGGAGTATAGAATATTTGCAGAAATGCCCTTGCTCTTTCTTAAATTTGAAATAGGAAACACACGTGGCAATATCCGATTGGATACCGCTGACTGTATTTTCCGCTGGAAGATAACGCTGACTGCATAAACAAGGATAATGCTAATGACGTTAGTAGTTTTTGTGTCGCTTGCCGTGAACTTTGACAATCGTAACGTTTGATTGAACCTCATTAATTGTTTAATTGGGATTTCATATGCATTTGATTATGATGTATTCTTATAATATATAGTTTATTAAAAAGTATTTTAGAAGATCTTTACATAGTTGTACTAATCTTCATCATTGATGGCCATATTTTATGATAAAAGAAACCTTTAATTTCAATCTTCAGGTTTGACTCTGTGGATCAATCAATTGGTTCAACATTCTCCATAATGAAGCCAAGTTCTTACTGATGTGCTGCTGCTGTCGAGAGTTCCATTGATGTATAAATTGTTTTGTTTTTTTTCCAAAAGAAAGTAATTAGAAACACGACCTCGTGTACAGAAATAAATGCTCTTAATTTTTTCAACTCCTCTTGATGAATAAGTCATTTTTTACAAAAAAAATAAATAAATCAGACTAGTTCCTATCAAAAGGAAAAAAAATTATAGATCAATCAGTAATATTGCCCCGGACATTGGGGAGACCATTTGTACAAATTTACCTATCCCATGTTTCATACTCTGTTCTTACCCCTTTCTCTCTATCTCGCTCATCTTACTGAGGGAAAGGAGTATGAAACATTACATGTTAGTTTTACTCCAAAGTTGCACATCAAAGAATCCCAACTTTCTGTTTTCCATTTTCAACTAGTATATCTAATTTATAATTTTGAATTCTCTTCCCCCAAAAAGCATAACTTTTGGAAAGCAGCATTTTGTTTTTAAAAGGAAAGCAACATATTTAACAAAGAAAAATTAATTAGGTCAAAAATGAAAATACCTGCACGCAGATGGTATATATGATTACTATATTCCAACAATTAAGTGCATACATCCTACTGTTGACTTGAATCTAAAATCATTAGACAAGAATATTAAGACTAAATAAGACATTCTGAGGATAGAAGAAAATTGTAGTGAGATGAAGTGGCTATTCTCGGAGTGTAAATAATCCAACTTGAGCTAATAAGAAAATGAAGAAAACATGTCGGCAGAAACCACTACAAAGTACTTATTAATACTAAAACCAAACTGAGAAGTTCTATAGAAGCTCACCAAGATGCAGCTAAAATTGAAAATGAAGCTTGGAATGGCTGCAAATATGATTGATAGTGTATCCGAGAACACATTAAGAGGGAATCTATATTGTGATAATTTGGAGGAGTAACTCCACGTCACTCTCAAGAGCATTAATGACAGAGGGAAGCAAGTCTCACATGAACTCCACCCTAGCTGAAGCTTGAAATTCCAGCATCATGGCTTGTGAAGCTTGAATCCGAATACTCTAGGAACATAGCTCTGTGATGCCTTCTGTGGCTTCAGGTTCCCATATGTCATCAAGAACAGGTGAGGAAATGTACTTCCGAAGTAGGCTCCATCAATGTCTAGATAGAGTTAAGTAACTCAGGAATTAATGCAGGCAAAACTAGTGAGCATGGTGTTGGACCATGAAATTGAGCCAACCCCATAATGATGTTATAGACGACAAAATACATGACATGATACTGGTAACGCAAGGTGCAGCAAAATACACAGTAATTTCATGTTTCTAACAAAAAATAAAGAATCAAATAGCATATAAAAACTTGAAATTGACTACATTAGACAACAGATATCAATAAGAAAACTAACAAAATCTTCTCAAATGGCAAAACCAAGGTGTTATAATTAATCAACATGAACATTGATGCTTAGCCATGCATAGAGGAAGCAGTTTCAAACCCCAACGACATACCCTTTAAAAAGACACCACAACAATCCACTATAAATGCAAGTGAATCAGATGAAACAAATAATTTACCTAAAGGAAACATTGGAAAAATGGTTTCAAACTACTTGTCAGTTTCTAACTTACAATTATAATACTTCCAGGACAAAACCTACAAATTAAGTTTTAATAGAAATAACCCCCATCTCAACTTAAAACAAGATGTTAATGCTTAGCTTCCAGACATTTAGAAGCCAAACAGCAAAGGAATAAACACCAAATGTTAATGCTCAACTTCTTGACAAAGTAGCTGTTTATGCAGCCAACAATTGTAAATATAGGTTCAATATATAAAGGATACTACCTTGATACTTCGATCGAGGGTAGTAGATATCTTCACATTTGGGGCAATATATTTTTACAGTGCTTGACCGTGGGATATCCGATTGGCCAACTGGGAGGCAGGGTTGTCCGCAGCAGAAAACTCTTGGGCATCTCCCAAAATCATAGTTTTTGTACTTGTCTAGCTGTAGATCCAATAGCACAATTCTAGCCAGTTCACAAATTTTACAGTCAAGAAAGCATGAAATTTTCGAACAGACAATCAAGAAAAGAAACTTACCATGGCCGCCATGCCTTTGCTTGTCAATATATATCGAACATGAATTAGACCATAAAGCATCTCTGCTGCTGATTCAATCAATTCATTTTGTTCTTCTGTGAACATATCACCTGCCAAAAGTATATATCAAATAGGCAAAAAACCAAATGGCTGATCACACAAATATTCATATATAATTTAATACGTGGTGGGGTAGGGGAGGAGGGAGAAACAAGATGTTCGTTCTAAATTTTTTTCTAGACGGTAGAATTGGGTCTGGATTTTTTATTTTTTATTTTTAAAAACAGATTCAGAAGGTAGCTTCTTGAGTTCAAAAAGAATCATCCTTTAATATTAAGCTGGGGAAAGAACAAATTTCAAGAAAAATGATTAAAAAGTTCGCGACTCCATGGAAAAGATTCTCACAGAAATACAGATTGATCATATTTTCTTTATATAAAAAATATAGCTTAATCATATAGCTGCAAGAAAGAACACACATGGAGCCAACGCGAAAAACTTTGAAACATCAAGCTTACCGTGAGAAGATTCAACATCCAAAATTAAATCAAGTGCATAATCATAGTATGGCACTTGACTGCTTAGCCCGCAGAGGTTAAAATCATCTTGTATGTAATCATCATCAACTTCACAAAAAAATTCATTTCCTCGTAAATTGCAAAACCATGAGATCCAAGATGTGTCATCCCCATCTGAACCACTAACATCCGACTCTTCACTGTCTGTTTCAGATTCCTCTGCAGTTAATGGAGATACATTTCCATTAGTAAACTTACAGAACTGGTAGCTTATATCTATAAATAGGCAAGACAAACCAAACAAAACCAACAACAGAAAGTGCAGATGAACAAAAATATAATTATAAACTAAACAAAGTTCACACATTCTGTTTTTCCAGGAGATGTGCGGCCCAATTTTACAATACTTGCTCGTCATAAATCAAACTTCACTAGAGTAGAATAAATCACATATTTCAATGAAGTTTAAAGATGATAAATAGTGTTCTATGTGCAACCCTTCTGTCCATGGTAGCATGTATCAATTTTTTTCTTGGGGGTAGGGAGAGCGGGATAGAAGCAGATATTTAAAATCAAGAATAGTGAATATTAATACTCAATAGTAATGTAAAAAACAAGAAACCAAGTTTTCAAACAGTTTGCAAAGAACCACTTGTAAGAGAATGAACTTCAAATACGAAAATTACTCTCTATCTTGAGACGTAGTTTACTAACATTGCTCTTTATAAAATAGGGATACATTCAAACTACAAGAACAAAATTTATCATTAAACTCCAGATCAAAAGGATATAACACCAAACTGTTTGGTATCACCCCCTAGAAAACCCCATATCCAATTGCAAATGACGGACTCTAGCAAAAGTTCAAGTAAATTTCCCAAAAACTAAACAATGCTCTGTAACTTCCGGATTCTGGACCTGGCAGTTTAATGGACAGTAAAATTATGTGAAGGAAGGGATGGGACATCCGACAGATCAACTAACTAGTTGGGCCACAAAATTACAGCTTTTCTTGTATGGATAAGCCTGCTGAAGAGACAAGACGGTGACATTAAATCATGGGCAGACCGCTATAGCAACGGATATACTTGAGGTTTAGCTATCACAACGAATAGATGGAAAGCTCATACAGAAAGCCCGATTTCATCCTTTTGAATACCGCTAACATGTTTTGATGACATAAAATGGAACGCAATTCGTAATATGTGTACAATGCATTATAATTAAAACAAGTATGTACACAAACCCAGTTGATATCATTAAGGGAAAAAAAATTATATCAATGCATCCTCCTGCCCAGATGCACCCCATTTCTGAAAACTTTATCCAAATGCGAATCCATTTCAAACCCTTTATTTATTTTTTTCTACACTCGTGTTAATGCAACAAAACAAAGCAAACCACAGATTTTTAACATATCAACGATGTTGTCCTAAGCAGGCAATCGATCTCTACTCTTCTACTTTCATAGAAACCCACAAAAAAATCAAAAAGGAAACAAATTGAGCAAGGAGAAGGCATACAATTCCAATTAATCAAATTAACATAAAGAAAATTTCAGACCATCGGAGCAATTGGTTTTGGCGAGAGAGGCAGAGGCAGAGCGAGAGTCTCTGTGATCAGATGGAGGCTGCTTTCCCCCCATGATAAGCGGCTTATCCTTGCCATTGATTGCCCTAGAAGTGGAAGGCGAGGATCGCTCGAGCTGCTTGTCCAGAGCGTCATTGATCCGCTTCCGATCAACGGCGGGCCCCCCCCCCCCCCCCCCCCCCCCCCCCCCCCCCCCCCCCC